ATACAACATACTATATAATAAATAACAGCCCTTATAGCTGGACAAAACAAAAGTAATATTTGYGGCCCTTCTGGCCCAACAGAATAAATTATAATATTATAYTGTACAAGCTTGCAGCAATTACTGTAAATATAAAGAATAGTATGCGCTGTAAAAGTAATCAATACAAATATAAATAATGCACGGCCCTTGTGGCACGACAGAATATAATAAATATGTATAGCCCTTATGGCACAATAAAAATAATATAATAATAATAAATCAMGCCCTTATRGCTAAACAAGATAAATATACAATTATAAATGTGCAGCCCTTATGGTTGACAAATAAATATATAATAWTTTGACCCTTCTKGCCCAACAGAGTAAAAATAAGTATAATAATTAAATAAATAATAAATAGTAGTAATAAGAAAAACACACAATTTGTGGAGCGCAGACTGGCCAGCTGGTCCTGTGCTAAATAATATAAAATAATACAMGACGGCAATAACAACAAATTAACAATAATATAATAATATTTGGCCTTTATGGCTTACAATAGTAAATAATATAAATATCCAGTTCGTGTTCAGCGCCCGACCGTGCAACACGTCTGTGTCGCTCATTACCGCATTTATAGCTATCGATAGCAGTAACACGCATCATTCGATTCAACGTGCAGGTAATATGATTATCGTTTTTACGTTATCTATACCAATTAAATAATATCTCAAACCCAATGGGCGATAAGCCTATTTCAACAACCGATATGAATAATGCCTACAGTTCTTCACAACCCACACATAGTAATAAGACATTCGCCGAAATAACTTCAAATACTAGTTTACCGAAAATGAATCAAGCTATTGTTTTTAACTCCATAAATAATATCAAACAAATCGATTATGTCACCGCAATCAGCAAAACTATTCCCGCTAAGAATATACAATTTGTTTCGCGTATTTCCAATAACAGATTTTGCGTCTTCTTCAATAGCCAAACCGTTATGGAAAATTTACTTAAGAATCAGTCATCAATTCAAGTTAATGGAATAGAAATCCAAATTCGCAGACTTATAAACACCTCTAAGAGAATTATTTTATCAAATGTCTACCCGACTATCCCAAATCAACTCATAATAGATGCTCTTCATGAGCTAGGAATCAAAACTGTCTCGMAAATTTCTCACATGAGAGTCGGATTCACCACTGAACAATTTTCTCACATATTAAGCTTTAGAAGACAAATTTATATTAGTCAAGATAGCATGTCCAAACTACCTAGCTCCATCACTGTTACAATAGAGAACACAACGTTCAGAATATTTATCAGTGATGACACTGTAACCTGTTTTCAATGTCACCAAACTGGTCACTTCTCAAGCCAATGTACAAATAAACCCAATTCAATTAATGTTACCGAACAGACAGAAACTGAAATGGAAACCATTATAGACCTATCATCAACAGCAAACAATATAATAAATGAATCTTTACCTATCGCCAAGGCTCAAAATGCGAATACCTCCCAGGATAGAGATACTTCATTCATAAACCTATCCGTTGAAAGTACCAATGTCACTTCTTTGGAGCAGTCTATAAAATCTACGCTAGCTGATAAACTAATAGCGTCAGCTAACTCTAATACTAAAGTAAAGCCTCTTCAGACAGGAAAACGCCCAGCTCCGTCCACTGTTACTAATTCTCAGCCGCCTTCACCTACATCATCAAGCTCGTCTCTCCCATCCAGCCCACCTCCAATCGTGAGGCCCCCTAATACACAATACGGCCAAACTCAATCAGCAAAAATAACCAAAGGAATTACAAGCAAAAAACTAAAAACCGGACCTAGTTCCAGCTCTAATGACGAAGTTCATACTAACATCGATGAATGGTTAGAATCCACTCAAGAACTTTTTAACTCACACCCGGATTTTTCCTTAACCTATAACCAATTCAAAGATTTTCTTGAATGTTCAAAAGGTTGCTCCGAACTCGGGAATTTATGTATCAAATACTTAAGTAGTCCAGATAATATTATAGAAATCATTTCTACAATTTACCCCAATGTAACAGTGAAAAGCGCCAAAAATCGTCTAACCAGGTTATCCAATGCATTAAAAAAAATTCAAAACTTCACTGACAGTCAAACTTCCATGATYGACTGTGAAGATTACGAAACCTTTTAGTTAAAATCCAAACCTCTACATAAACAAATATACGTAAACAACACTAACACACCATGATCAATAACACCTTTCAAATCCTCCAATGGAATCCAAATGGACTCTATTCAAAAATTGATGAAATAAAATTATTAATTAACAAGTTCTCGCCAGTAGCTCTTAGCATACAAGAAACCAACTTCACTATCAATAAAACTGGGTCTTTAAAAAATTATTTAACCTATTTTAAAAACAGAGACAATCATAATAGGGCTAGCGGTGGAGTGGCTACCTTTGTTAGTTCAMAGTACCCTTCGGAAGAAATCCCTCTATCCACAAATCTAGAAGCAGTTGCCGTAAGAATCTCTCTCAAATACAAACTAACTATTTGTAATATTTATATACCCAACTCACAAATCCTCAATTACTTAGATATTCAAAACATTATCGACCAACTACCAACTCCTTTTATACTTCTGGGTGATTTCAATAGCCATAATATCTTGTGGGGTTGCAATGACACAGATCAAAGAGGCACAATCGTACAACAAATTCTTGATAATAACAATAACATAAATATTCTCAACAATGGTCAAGCAACTAGAATAAGTGCTAGCACCGGCAATCTCTCAGCAATTGATCTCTCTCTTTCGTCGTCAACTATTTCACCCCATATTGAATGGGGCACTATGCCAGAGCTCTCGAGTAGCGACCATTTTCCAATTAAATTAACACTTAAATATACCGACTCTGGTGACAAACACACTCGCAGTCTCAAATGGAAACTGACCAATACCAACTGGGATACCTATCAAACTGAAATAGAAAAAAAYATATTAAATTATGATTTTTCCTTCTCAAATAACAATAATGTGGAAGACAATACGGAGAAACTTAGTAATTTAATTTATAATACGGCTTCAAACATTTTCGAGCAAAATAGTTATTCTGGCAAACGACCTCCAGTACCATGGTGGAATAAAACTATCAAACATGCAATAAGGAATAAAAAAACAACCTTCAATAAATTTAAACGTACACACGATTTCCACGACTTCATTGAATTTAAAAAGAACAAAGCATTAGTCAGATATTTAATAAAAAACGAAAAAAAAAAGCTTGGGAAAAATTCACGACAGACCTCAATAGCAAAGAGTCAACAACCAATATTTGGAAAAAAATTAAAATCATTAAAGGTATTCCTATGACCCAAATTAAAACTATTCTATCTGAAAATGTCATACTTACTGAACCTCAGGAAATAGCTCAATCAATAGGCCAATACTTCTACTCCAACAGTAGTGACGCTTCATTAACCAACGACTTCCTTAAGTACAAACAAGAAAAAGAAAAATATATAAATACCTCAACAAACTTCCAACCCAACCATGGCCAGGGCAGCATCTTGAATGAACCGATTACCTTGCCTGAAATAGAACTATGTCTTCGTGGTAAAAAAAGTAAAAGCTGTGGGTCCGATAAAATTCCTTTTATATTCTTACAAAACCTACCATCAAGTGGCAAAATGTTATTACTTCATCTCTACAACCAAATTTGGGAAACGGGCATAATCCCAATCAAATGGAAAAATGCCATCATCACCCCTATTCCAAAAAAGAATCAAAATAGATTTGAACCTACAGGTTATCGACCAATATCAGTACTCTGCTGTATGAGCAAACTATTAGAAAAAATAATCTACAACCGACTTAATTGGTATGCAACTCAACATAAATTCCTTTCACCAAGTCAACATGGTTTTAGAAAACACCACTCTACCACTGATTGTCATGTAAAAATTGAAACTGAAGTCATAGAAACTCTAGCAAACAAACAATCAATGATCTTAATAACCTAACCTAACCTCGATTTGCAAAAGGCATACGACACTGTTTGGCGATACAGAGTTATCAATCTACTTAAAAATTGGAACATACATGGAAACATGATMATATTTCTAACTAACTTCTTAAACCAACGATCCTTCCAAGTAAAAATTGGAGATCTTACTTCTAATACTTTTGTGTTAGAAAATGGAGTACCGCAGGGCTCCCCTCTCGGCATTTTTTTATTTCAGACGGCAATCAATAACCTTCCCAATACTATTTCCAATCCTGTAAAATCAATTATTTTTGCTGATGATACCCACTTATACATTCGAGGTACACAAATTTCTGATATGACTAGATTACTCCAAAAATGCCTAAATGACCTTTCCGAATGGTGCTTCAAAGCTGGCTTTATTTTCTCGCCTCTAAAAACCAAATGCATTCTTTTTTCTAACAAAAGGAAATTAACCAAACCGAAACTGTTTCTTGGTACTACTCGTTTAACATTTGTAGATGACATTTCAATTCTAGGTCTAAATTTTGACACAAAGCTTACTTGGAAATCTCATATTATGGCACTAAAAAAAAATGCATACAAAAGCCTCAATGTCATTAAAACCTTAAGTCATTATGAATGGGGTGCCGAAGGCACTATACTATTAAATGTATATAGATCGCTGGTAAGATCCAAACTAGATTATGGTTCAATTTGTTATGGTAATTCAGACTCAAAAATCTTAARAATAGTTGACACAATCCACAACGCAGGACTGAGATTGTCAATTGGAGCTTTTAAAAGCAGCCCGATATTAAGTTTGCTCTCCCTGACTGGAGAACCTCCACTTCATTTCCGTAGACTCAAATTATCTCTTAATTATATA